TCCAATCTCCCATTTCATCCCACCTTCCCCTCTTTGTGTCCAAACATTTGTTCTCTGCATCTGTGTCTCTATCTCTGCTTTACAAATAACCCAATTTTTAAATATAACTGACCTAGGTATTTTTTTCTATATACACTGACACCAGGGCTCTACCTTCCTTTCCTTCACCCTCCTCTCTTTTACCCACATTATATTTGTTGAGTCCTCTCTATGCACCAGTGTTACACCAGGAGTAGCAGTATCATGGATGAAAATACCAACAAATCCAGCATCTTATGTTTAAGTCATGTGAGACACATATATGGACTTTGTTTTTAAACTTTATCACCTCTTAAAAGGCCTGTCTCCAAACAGAGTCACACTCTGAGGTACTAGAGGTTAGGATTTCAACATATGAATTTTAGGACTTAATTCAGCTCACGATACCTCCCTACCTCTGTGGTCATCGGGTAGTTGAATTTAATTACATTTAACAAATAATTAATACATGGTTTGAAGGGATCAGAGCTGAGTTTTGAAGGACATTCAGAATTAACAATAATAAAGTATCAAGAATTATTCTTCCACCATTGTATAGAAAGAATGAAGGTGTGGACTGAAGTGGGTAGCTAAGTGGCAGACAATGCAGAACTCATTTTGGGTGCTGATGGCATGAGATGGCATGAACAAGTGACATACAGACATGCACTAGATGGCTCCTGATGGAGGGATGAATGACAATGATTCCTGAGTGTCCCCAGCATCAGCAGAGTGGAAGCTCAGAGGAGCACAAATCGGTTGCTGAAAGAATAGTTCTATATTAATCTCTTTCATTTGTTTTGGAATTCTGAGCATAAAGGATATTCTTAGAAAGTAATTGATCATCTAAACTTTGCTAAAATAATTTAGAAAATGTAACCTACTGGCCCCAGGAAAATTAAATTTAGTATTCGGTTGAACTGTATAAAATGGCCCACATTTGATAATTTTGACCTGCAGAAATTCAATATGGTTCAACATAATTCAATGTCTGAGTAGTCTGTTTTATTTTTAAGAGGAGAAAGAAATGAAAAGGCAATTCACTAAATCAAAACCATGTAGTATTTGCAGACTATAATCAAATGGTTAGGTAAGTAGGAATGTATTCTAAAAATATAACTTTTCTCCCAAAGAGGCAATCTGAAGAGTAAAACATTATTTAATTTTAATCAAGAAAGCCAGGAGGCAAGGGCATAATAGCCTTCTATTGTGATGTAAATTGCAGTGGATGTATGAAACTTTTATTTTTCAGGGCAAAAGATTTTATGATGTTAAAATCTTATTGGGACATTATTTTTAGTGACTAGTTATTTTAATCGACTATTTAGAATGAAGGTTCACTACAGCTCTACTGTTGAATGGCTCCATTGTGATTACTTGTAAATCAGTTTTATTGTCAGCCAGCATTGGGCTAATCAGAGATCAGCTCATGCTTAAAAGTATAACTAAAAAGTAATCCACTGATGTGTAACAGGATTTGTTGAATCTTTTTCCTGCCATTTTATCTGTAAATAATTTTCAACCACCTAACACTGAAAAGTGAAAGTCGCTCAGTCGTGTCTGACTTTGTGACACCATGGACTATACAGTCCATGCAATTCTCTAGGCCAGAATACTAGAGTGGGTAGCCTTTTCCTCCTCCAGGGGATCTTCCCGTCCCAGGGATAGACCCAGGTCTCCTACATTGCAGGCGGATTCTTTACCAGCTGAGCCCCAAGTAAGCCCCGATATTAGGGCTTCCCTGATAGCTCAGATGGTAAAGAATCCGCCTGAAATGCAGAAGACCCTGGTTCAATTCCTGGGTCGGGAAGATCTGCTGGAGAATGGATAGGCTACCCCCTCCAGTATTCTGGCCTGGAGAATTCCATGGACTGTATAGTCCATGGGGTCACAAAGAGTCGGACACGACTGAGCAACTTTCACCTCAATACAGGAAAGGGCTCCTTGGGGAAGGTGTTACTCTTGGGTCACATTCAAGCACCAAAGGAAATGTAGTTCTTAATTTACTGAAAATGTATCAATGTTTAATAATTTTGAACAACAAAGATCCTATGAGTAAGCTGTCACTTTTAAACAATTCCTCCAATTATCCTCAAATTATTGGGGGCCTTCAGATATCAAGAACTTGGGGCACATACTCTGTCTACAACATACTATCTCTGGAAACTTTTTCAGACCTCTAGAGAACAGCCAGAAATAGCACCCAATCATATAAGCAAGTGTCCTCCATTTAAGAGAAAAATATAGAAACTTCCTCTCTATTGAAGTATGATATATGTTTATTTTCATGGAATCCAGAGTGATGAAAGCACATACTCTTTCTCAGATAGAACTGGGAAGTTGGTTGAAGCTATGAGAAAGTAGATCAGCATAGTGTTTCCAAGTTATGCAAACAGATGAAGCAACTTTAAAATAGCAGCACTTCATCTCAAAGAGCATCAGCAAGTTCTCTGAAACAGGAAAAAAACAGAAGTGGCAAGAAATCATGCACTTTCTATATATATATATATATATATATATATGTTTGTGTGTATCACACACATATATGTAATAGCAATAGAGTGAGCTTGGTCTTTTTCAGAGGACAAAAATTGTAGGATATTTCCACTGAAGTTACGGATAATGCAGTGCTCTGTTATGCCATCATGGAGTCTAGTGCTGAAAGGACCTCAAGAAGGAGAACATACCTCAAAGTCAGTCAGAGGGGAATTCTTTCATCAGCCAAGTATGAAAAGTACTTCACTCCTGCTCTGGTAAGAGAAGTAATCAAGACAATACATGTGCTCAGCCATGGTTGTTAAGTTCTGAATGTGTGCAGCTTTGGCCCTTTCCACTCTGCTGAGCTGAATTTTTGCAGGCCTGTAACTTCTTCTAGTAGGTAGACTTCTATCCTCTGGGCTACAGAGAACTCTTTACCAGTTCAAGTACTGGAAGGCAGAATCCTGCTGGCCTTGAGATTTTCCTCCCATATTCCTCTTAGAAACCTCCTATCTGCCTACCTCCATCCCTTGGTCATTCTGAACCAACAGTGTTAGGGCTGCCTAGAGCCTGGCCAGCTGACTACTACTCAGCCTACAACTCAGACTGCTCATTAGGAAATCCTAACCACAAAGCCAAATCTTTATCATCAGGATCTCAAGAGCATTAAGCTAAAGAAGTACAAGACAAAGATCATGTGCTTCCCCCCGCTCCACTTTTATTCAAATAAATACAAAACCTGTATACAGCTTGATTAATCACACCGTCTCTCTTTCTCAGACTGGTGCACTTAGATTTTAGACACGCACTGCTGTGGTCACAGCACGGCCGTGCAGGATCTACCCTCTAATCTGAAATGATGATTTCAGGAGCACAGGCCAAGAGCCACTTGTCAGATGAGCCATGGTGGCACCTGTCCACTTAGACTGACAAAGATGAGGATAAATGTCTTTTTAGGTATAAAATACTTATCTTTATAATGTACCTTTGGATAAATGTAATTGTTTTCTCCCTGCTTTCCCAGATCAGGCACTTGAAAAGAAGAAATGTCAGGAATGGGCAAACCAGTTCACTAAAATTCACTGGATTTGATTTCCTAAAAATTCAAACAGTATGGCATTTGCCACTAGTTAGTAAGACCAATAATGACAGACATTTTTGATGTGCTAGAGTTGATTCAGAAATGTACAAGTTGGAGAAATTTCATTTCTTGTAAATCAGTTACTCCCTCTGAAATTCTGTCTTTAAGATTAAGTAGTGGCTTTAGTTTGAAACTGGGTCAGTATCATTTTTATTGGGAAAAAAAGAGGCTTGGCTTCTTGTGCCCCACATATCACTTGAATAGTCTTTAATGACTTTGGTTACTGATAGTTTGGTCTATAAGGAACTAAATAATTTAGGCAATTACTTCCTCTTAGCTAAAACCAGTAGGGTGAATGCAACCTACAATGAGTCAAATTCAATTTAAAGATCTAAATTCTCACAGAAAAGCAACCAAAGATAAAGCCCTAAGGCAACTGGGCTATGCAACAGCAGATTTAGGACGCGTGGGCTGGTGCTCATGCTATCACAACACCAGCAGGAACAGAACTGCCTCTGGGGAGTGGCTGTGGCTATGGCGCCCGCCGCTGTAAGACAGTTCTGCTGGAGTCCCACAGCTTCCTACACTGCTTGTCACCGATCCTACTTTCTCTGTAAAGATGCTGCTCAGCTCAGCAACAGCCCAGGAGAGTGGGAATAAGGCTTGATGTGTTAAGAACTGTTCCTTCTGCCTGTGACAGCAGGAGTCAGTGAGGCTGTCAGGAAGCCTGACAAAGAGCAAGCCTATTTCCTACAATAAAAAGTCCCAAACACTGTGCTGTCAATCCTTTACCGTAAAACTAAAACAGTTACAAAAATAATACATTTGAGACTCTTTGCCACATTTACAAAAAGAAAAAACAAAAATTCAAACAACTGTAAAAAAAAATCCTTTAAAATGTTGTAACAATAGCCTTCTTATAACAAATATCATACAGTTTAAGACACTTGGTGACTTCCTTAAGGTCATGTATCAGGGCATACACAATAAAGTTTTACTATTAAAATTATCTATTTTGTAAACAGATAATTCCATCAATAAAGAGAAGAGCTCCATCAATAAAATAATTGTTTTGGAAAGAAGAGTTATAACTTTTTCCAAAATGTCAAAAAAGAATAAGGATGTAAACACCACATTCTTAAAATATTAATACAACAATATTAATTCAGTTAAATAAATACATAAATAAAAGAAATGGCACCAACTTTATGGCAATTTTTTAACATAAAAATGTAACTTAAGGATATTTTAAAATAAATAATTGCTCCAAACAGGAACAAGCATTTCTGAGCACAAACCGAGAGCATCTGAAATAAAGTGCTACGAAATGAGGCAGTTCCACACTTCAGTTTGTTCAGCTATGAGCAGAAATGCCACCCAGATCTTCAAGTCTGAAACAGTCATGAAGGGAAAGTCAGCGTCACTAAATGCCAGGCTCAGGGCTATCTTTTGTCATTTTTCTTTTTTCTTCCAGTGTGTGCTTAAATATTTTCTTCAGGGTGTTGTAGACTATTGGTCCATTTTCAGAATCAAAATTAACCTAGTGATAAAGAAAATTTATATTCAGTTTACTATAACAGGAATTGAGGATACTATAGCCAGTCTTTATTCTGGGAGAAAAGAAAGGGGATGGAGAAAAACAAAGACTTACAAACAAAATTACATATAATTAAAAAGGACACACAATACAGTTCACACATTAGCTTAAATTAAAGTACTACATTAGAACTGCCAGTTATGTCAATACTAAACTTACGAATGAAAACTAAAACAATTAAACCTAGTGCCTGGATAGGTACTGTACTCATGAGGCAAGCCAACAGTGAGTGTGATGGGGGTTTTGAATCCAGAGACTAATCACAGCTGGCCTAAGGGAAAAGTCTCCTTATTAAAACAGTGCACACCAGCTTAAGTGTTGCACTGAGGTGACCTGAATAGGAAGCCTAGTTCTCTGTAAGCAACTGTAGCCTCGTGTCATATCTAACCTTTCTGTAAAATGGAGATCACAACATCCATCTCCTTAGGATTTCTGTGAGTACAAAATATGAAGATCTAACATGGGCATGACACATGTAAAAACCTCTCTGTAAAAGTTAATTTCCCTTCCCACTGGTGGGAAGGCACCATGTACACATATTTGGATTCTTTTTATCCAAGTTCACTGTTTTGCAGGGTTGCAATGACATTAGGACAGAGAACCAGAGCAATCACCACACCTCCATCCTACTCCCACTGCCAAATGTGCAACTCCTTAGGAAAAGATCTGTACTCCGTGACCAGTGATCCCTTCCCTTCTGGAGGGAGACAGGAAGGCCATGCCCTCCAGGAGGGCTGGGAAGGGTCTCACACAACTTGTGGGCACTGGCAGAAGACATGACAGTGTTGGGTCAAACAACTTTATGACTGAAGGCAGCACACGCTCCATAATCACATGGATTCCCTTGCCTTCCAAGCCCCCTGGGGGTGATGCAGAGCGGCACAAGTGGAGGCCACACAGCAAGGAATCTGCCTCACCACTGAGGAACTCCCCAGTGTCTGATGAGGGAGCTGTGCCAAGGCTGCTAAGCTGTGGCCTGAAGGAAATCTTATCTATTACACTGGAAGCAGATGCTACACAGATTTCCTTGATGAGCTAGTCTGGAATAAAAGCTATCAGGGCCTCTATTCCTAAGACTGTACACAAGGGGAGAGACCTAAGAACAGTCTTCTAACATTTTTATAGACAGATTTGGAACAACCAGTATATTTAACTTTTCATTAGTATCGCTATGAAAGGTCAAGAGAAGTTGTAAAGAATTCCTACTGCTTTCAGGGAGACCAGTATTCAGGACTTATTTTTAATTAAATTCAGAAATTTAACTTTATCTTAATCTTGTTTTGTCTATGCTATCTGAAAATATTAGTAATGGCCTGAACTGCATACTTTGTTACACACCAAACCACAACCCTCCCCACAGAGCAGGTAATCTCTGGGTCTATGAAAACATAAACACAGTTGTAAAAGATCACATAGTTTGGTTTTGATGTGCTAACTCTGAAACAGTCACAAAGAGACTGACTGAGAGGATGAAAGTGGTTAGTGCTGTAAAGCTCTAGATGAACAAAAAAGCTCCTGATGATGAACAAAGAAATCTGTAAGAAGGACATCACTTTGGAAAGAGTGGATGGGGAAAGAGATTGGTGAATGAGTACAAATAACAATTGCTATTAATATAAATGTTTGCCAAAGACGCTGTCATCAAAAAACAGGGTTCTTTGTTTAATGATATTTTGGTATCACATGCAAGAGACACAAAACAAATTAGCTGAGGGGAACCTTTTCTCTTGGCATGAAATCTGGCATCTTTCTTCAGTCAGGAAAGACTGCTGCAGGACAAAAGGATGTGCATGGTAAGGAAACTTCGCTTAGGATTTGCCAACCAGACATGGTACTGAACTGCCAAAGCTGGATGTTAAACTCTCAATAGGTGGTTTCTTTTTCAGACCCAAGGTAGAACTGGCTCAAGAAGAAAAGATTCTCTACTAGGGTTAGAATTCTACTAGGTACATGATTTAAAAATATTTCCTCAACACTCAATTGTTTCCCTCTACATAAAAGTTCTTTGTTTCAAAGTTTGCCTTCAAAAAGCCCACAGTTCAGCCTTTTCTTATATCATTGTTAGGAAACTGGTATTTTTTAGCCAAAAGTCTGTAACTTTCATGAAATGTCAAACATATTTCCATTAAAGGGAAACATGGTCAAAAGTTTTATTTTAGAGAAGGCTGATGACCTCTGGATTCTGATTTACTAAGATTATGCTGACTGTGGTCTGAAGTGGAAAGGAGGAGTGCAACCCACCTTAGTGAAAGCTTTAATGGCGCGGGCAAGAACAGCTTCCTCCACATCTGCAGGAATCGTCTGCAGGCTCACTATGCAATGCAACACGCAAAGAATAGTTTGTTGCTGGCCCTGTTTTGCAGAAATAAAAATCAAACAAGTTGTCTGAAAAATGCCTCAAGAAATAAACTCAAAACAACTGCTGAGCCAAGAACTGGTTTGCAATCAAGTATTCACTACCTCAAATACTAAACTATCTACCAAGGGCTCTACCAGTGTTTACTGTTATATGTTAATATGAACAGCTTTCAGGAGATAATATCAAAGCTGGTTATTTATTACACAAAATATAGCTGAATCTGAAGATAAGTGCAACTTTTAATCAAACACCTTCCATGCAGTGTACTGAAGACGATTCATTCTTGCTGTTTCTAGACACAGTCACACTGAAGTAGATGCTGGCACCTCACGCAATATGTGTACAGACAGCTGAGTACTCAGCACTCAGTACCTTCATCATGTCCTGCCAGTTGCAGACAATACTGAATGGGGAAGGACAGAAGAAGAAAGACCACCACAGTCCTCCAGGAACATGCTAAAGCATAAGGTCCCTGAAGAATGTGTCCCCAGCTTAACTCCTAACACTTGTTTCCTTTGGAGAAGCAAAGGAGAAACCCCATCACTGGAGCAATTTGCCTCCAACACACCCTGTCCACTGAGTCACTCACTAATTTTACTTCTGAAAATCTACTCCAAGGACATAATCTGAAATGCAGAAAAACATGCAATCACAAATTATCATTACAGTGATCTGTATCAAAACTCTAAATAATGTAAACACCCTGAATGTAAGGACTGAAGTGAATAATGTGGAAATAGCACAATGAGACAGAAAGGTACAGGACTTCGGTGCCAGAGTTTGAGTCCTGCTCTGACACATGCTGCACGCTGTGGGCAGACTGCTTCACATTCCCTCTTCTGAAAAGTGGGGCCTCTACCTCTCTGAGCAATGGAGATGAACAAAGGTGAAAACAGAAATTATGACCTAGCAAGGGCCTGGCCCACTGCCACCCAATCAGTGAAAGTTAACTGCCTTCCTTATCCCTGCTCTGGATTCATCTCTGTCATTCAAATGCTCATGGGCATCACACAACTGTGCACAAAGGCCTGTGTGTATCTCTGTGTGTCTATATTAAGCAGTAGTTAGTAGCAGAAGATTTAGAAGCAATGAAATGTTTATACCATAGCAGAGCAGATTACTCAAGGCTGATTATGAGGTAACATTGTTTCCTAAAACAAAACAAATCCTATTTACAGATGAAAATTTAATATCTCTACATGGTTAAAAATATTAAATTGTATAAAAGAATCTACAGTGAAAGTCTCTCTTGCTTTCTAGATCCACTGTCTCTGATTACTATTCTCTAAAGGCAACCATCATTATCAGTTCCTTATTTTTCCTTCTATATTTTATACATACACAAATTACACACATAAATGTATATGTGACACACACCCTTTTTAAAGAAATACAAATGAATGTATATTCCAACCCACTTCAGTTAGTCACATTATATGCTCACAGTAAATAAGTAAATACCTGAAAATGAGAAAGTGATTGGTTATAACATATCTCATGTTAGAGCATTATCTACCCATTTAAGTTTACATTTATGAAAAACACATGGAAAAACATCTATGTTATAATTCTGAGCAAAAATGAAGTATAACATTTTATGTGAAATAATTTTTACCAAGTTAACATATGTATTGACAAGACTGAAAGAAAAAACTTGAAAATGTTTCAATGAAAATGTTTAAAGTAGCTCTCCTGACTCATTTGATGTCGGGAAAGATTGAAGGCAGGAAGAGAAGGGGACGACAGAAGATGAGATGGTTAGATGGCATCACCGACTCAATGGACATGAGTTTGGGTAAACTCGGGGAGTTGGTGATGGAGAGGGAGGCCTGGCGTGCTGCAGTTCATGGGTCGCAAAGAGTTATATATGACTGAGCGACTGAACTGAACTGAACCTGGGGTTATGGGTATTTTCCCGTTTTACTTATGTATCTTCTGAATGTTTATATTGGGGGTGCATTTCTTCCCTTACTTTGGAAAATTTTAAATTAGACCTCAATATGGAATTCTGTGAGAGTCCTCTTTTAAAAAATGGTTATTTTTAGTGTGTAAAACTTGTACTGAGGGCCTCAATTAACGTCATCAACTGTTCAACAGCTATTTTACCTTTTCTAATAAGAACAGTGCTTCCGAGGCATCTGCACATCTGTCAACCAACATGTCCATGTCCTCTTTGGTTATCACAGGCTCCTTTAGCTGCTCCACCCAAGACCACATCAAACTGCACAGGATGAAAGGATCCTTTTCGCCACATATTCTTTCCCAAGCTCCGTCTCGGGAATTTAGTTCTTTCTAAAAAGGAAAGGAGAAAGAAAAAGAAAGAGAAAGGAGAGAGGACAGAAGAGGAGGGAAAGGAACAGAGAGGGGGAGGGACAAAGTCCGGGAGAGAGGAGGGCAGGGAGGCATGGTTTGACATCTGATGAGCCTTAGGCTCTCCAGGAGAGTAAAGTCTCAGGCTCTGAGGTGGGGACTGGGACCCCTCCCAGTGGTCCCCCTTTCACTCAGGACCCTGGGCTAAGACATTTAATTTCTCTAAGCCTCAGTTTCCCTTTGCGAAGTTCATCCCCACCCCACTGGCAGGATGACTAAACTGAGAGGGCTGTTAAAGCTCCTGATACTGAGAAGGCTTAGTTAACCCGAGTTCTCCATTTTGTTCAGAAAATACAGAAACAATTCAGGAAGGAACCTTTCTTTTCAGGCTCCTTAGAACAAAACAAATATTTACTGCAAGGAAGTTGAATGGTAAATGAAAAAGTATAAAAGTGCCAAAAAGTTAATTAATGTGGTATATATAACCTATTTCTTTCAAATTCCTTTTTAGAATCCCATGTAAAATTTACCAAGTCCTGCATTCTGAATTTGATAGGGTAAAACAACTAGGAAGTTTTGCCAATACTCCAAATGCCTGGAGATAATTTAAGGAGATTTTAAAACTTTACCTCACAGAGAGTATGGGGGAAAAGTAAGGTAGCTATTTTTAATTCTGAGAGGGTTCAGATTTGTGTTTTAATAAATAAAATACATGTTTGCAGTAGTAATAAGCAGAATAGTTACCACCATTCATTCATTCACCCCACCTAACATTCGCAGAATACTTATAGTGTGACAGGAATGAGGACACAAGACTTTCCTCTGCTTCTTATAGCAACCCAGCATGGAGGTCTCCTTTACTGACGAATGCACTGGGAAGTTCATAAGTGAAGAAGTAACTTGCCAGAGCCCAAACTAAGAGAGCACATTCCCAACCCAGATCTGCTCTACCCCAGTCTGTGATGTTTTTCTCATGCTATCAGGGTCCTCCAGCCCTGGTTTCTCTTTATTTTCTCATAAATAAGTCCAAACTTTTAGTTATGCATAGTCCTTCATATCTCATAGATCATGTACATAGCAGAGTAGCTTTTATTCAATTTTATGTTATGCAGAAATGACATGACTCAAAGACCCCCTTAGTAAAATGACCATTACATCATTATTATTTTCTGAAAATTTCCAATAGGGCTAGGAAAAACATCAGGGATGATAGAAAGTATTAAACACATGAACCGTATCCTGGCTCTGCTACATTCAGACCATGTGACCTCAAGCACATCACTTGACCTCTGTGAGTTTCCCCACCTGTGATACTTAGTTCGTAAGTACTCAAAGATTAACAAAGAATTTGTAAATAGTATCATCAGTCTCATAGGATTACTGTGAAAATCACATGAAACAATGTGAAAGGGCCTAAGGGGTGCACAGAATTCAACTGATTTTCTTTATTACTGAAAGACCCACAATAAAATCCAGAAAGGAAAAAAGGCAAACCTATCCAAAGGATAGAGTTGTATCTACATCTAGAAAATGCTTTTGTATATATTATGTGTTCAAACAGTTCAGTCAAGTCGGGCAGACCCACGATGGGGTGGTGAGCTGCAGAGCCTGAAAGCATGGGTCCTGGGGCTAGCTACTGTGGCTCAGTTATGCGGAGGAGACCCGTCCACTGAGTGGAATGCTTGTTCAGCTTGGAGTACGAAATAAAGAAAATATTTCATGTTGGAAGACAGCAATACGTTTAACTATTGATTAAGCAAAACACTACAATTCTGATGAAAAAATCATGCGTGGAAGTGCTCTCCTCCTGGTCATACAGTTAGGCTCCATGCCTCCTCTTCTTGCCTCTGCATCTGGAAGGCCTGACCTCCTGGAAAGTGTACACACCTTGCTTGATTAGTGGTAGGAGATGGAAAAGCAGCTACAAATAATTCATGGTACATTATGGGCTAACAAGCCAAAATATCACTGAGCTAGGTCTCCCCAGGTCAGCCCCAGATTTGGGCAGTTTACCATAACTAGGTTCATAAGGCCTGTCTTCTCTCTAATCAGCTGCTCATTCTAGGCAGAGAGCATGATTTAAGACTGCTCCCTCATGAAAGTACAACACAAAATGATGTTAAAGTTTAAAATGTCACATTCTAATTTAACTAAAAGCCAAGAAATAGAGCTCAGGGACTCAATCTCAGATAAAACTAGTGGACAAAGGGGCTCTGTGGCCACTCCCATTTGCTTTCTGGAATCCAACACCTGCCTTGTTTGGGTGGGCTGGGGAGGGACTGCTGAGCAGTCAGCATTCATCACTATCCTTCTGTCCTTACTTGATACTTGGGTTAATGAGCTTTGGGAAAGAATTGTCTCTATTTCATTTTATCTCTCAGCTCGGGGTTCTCAAAGTGTGGTTCCCTGCTAGGGCTCAGGTTAGAGATGCTTTAGGTCAGTTCCTACAGTTTTCTATCCATCTGGCCATCAGTCCCACAGGCCCAGCAAGGAAGAAGGAAACTATTGCCATCAATCACTTTCATTGCCATGTTCAGTCAAGCACCCTGATGAGTGCTAAGCACTAAGTGCTTTCGTTCACAGAGACCGAAATGAACCTATACAAGAGACCTGTGTCTGTTGTTTCAATGACAGCAATTTGGTATTACAGTTGAGTAACTTGACGTTCAAAAGTTATGTATTATACCAACATGTCTTCAAATTCCTGAAAACAAATGAACTTGGGAAAATGTATTACTTTTGCTCTGACAAAAATATTTCCTACTCATAAATAATTAAATGAAATACAAATACCTGCCACATCTCTACCTTCTTTTTCACTTCCTCCTTTTCTGCAATATCATTTAAATTTGCCAGGGCTTTGGCTGCCAGTATTCTCCTTGCTTCAACACTCAACTCAGACTGTAAAGCCATATGTGCAGCAACTTCAGACAGGTATTTGCTGTTCTGAGTTTCATTCCCCAAGAACTGTGCTTTGGGACTGGACCTACAGTCAACAGGGCGGCGGCAAGTCTCACCATCCTCTGCAACAGAGCTTGGGCCACAACCACCATGACTTTCACACTCATAATGGTACACTTTCTGTTGAGAACAGTTTGGTTCCTTAGGAATATTTGCAAAGTTTGGTGCAACTGGCTCCCCAGGGTTGTATGAACCTGCAATTCCTGAAGAGAAGGTTCTGCTTCGCTGTACTTCCTTTGGAACGCTCGTCCTATGGAACATTGATGACCCATCATCTTTGAGTCCCTCTGGGATTCCAAATTTAGTGTGATTCCAGAAAGAAAATGTATTGCGGACCAGCATTTCCTTATTTAAATCTAGCTGTGGAGACTGTGGGGAGTAACAATGGCTTATGTGCTTCTGCTGCCTGGGATTATGGCAAAGCAAGGCCTGGGCAGGCACTGTCCACGGAGTCCTCCCTTGCTCCAGAAGTGACTCCGCCCTTTTTAAATCTGAGTCACTGTAGCTGAGCTGCCTTTTCAGATGAGCCAGGGGCTGAAGACACTCGACATTCCGCCTCTTCCAAAGAGGGTCCAACTCTTGCTCACTGGAAAGAACCACATCCTTATTCTCAAAATCCATCACCACTGCACTGGGGGTGAAAGAGTCTGATGCATCACTATCATGTCTCAGTAACTCCTTATCAAGCTGCCTTGTGATCATCTCAGAAACAGTCTTTTCAATTTCAGCTGAGAGGCCAGGTATGTCTGCCCCTTTTTCCGTCACCACTGGCCTGTTCTCAGCTAAGTCCAGCAGCAATTTGCAAACGAGGTGGATAATTTTTGGAATGTGTTTCAGAAGTCGTGCCTCATATCCGTGAAGCATGTGTCGCTGACGAATGAGATACTGTGCTAAGGTGACAGCATGTGCCTTGGGGTCACAGCAAGAGAATATATTGCGAAGAGGAATCAGAAACTGAGTAAATTCCCTTACACAGAGTAGCTGTCCTCGAGTTTGTATGGAATTAGGTCGCTTTGCCCGAACAAATATAATTGCTTGGTCAGCAGTCATTCTTGTTGCAAAAACTAAGTAACATGCTATTAAAACACCTAAACAATGAAGAAATGAAGATTGGCATGAGAAAATTTTATATTTTTATTTATTCTCTTTGATAATTTTAAAATTTGAATATGTATTAGGAAACCATATAAATACAGGAACATTTTAAGAACAATGGTAACTTTTAAACTTTTGGTACAGGGGGTCACCTATTTACTTGTCTCTATGGTAACCCTCCCCCTGACTGAGAACCCTTGGTCACCTCTGTAGCCCAGGGCAAGCACAAGCACTGTCACAGTGAACCTGAGTAGGTGTGGAGTAAGGGAGGATGGCTGAGTGTGGAGGGCAATGACTGAATGAACTGATGACCTGGTTCATTTACCCTCATTATGCCCAACTCCAACATGGAAGAAAGACAATACTGCTTTCCACTTTGAACAGTTCTTAAAAATTTCTATTCAATCACTCCATACATTCTGCTTGGAACTTCCCACCCCTTTCATCTTTGACATCAATTGGTGGCACATTCCAGACCTGCATTTTCCCCACTTGGGTATTTTTATCTTTGGCAACTATTCATTTTCACAATCTATTTTCTCTCTTGAAGTTTCTTCTTTAAGACTAAACTAATGCCTAAACTAATATATATTTTCCTCTAGATCATAGATACTTTTCTATAAGTACTTAATATTAAGGAAGACCACATTAATAGTGTAAAAATTATGTACTATCATTAATACTAAACTGAAATAATAAAAATGTGATTAATTTAAATAAAACAATTAACATCAAGTAAAAGGCAAATCAAAAGACATCTATGTGATTCATGAAGGTTCTGAATCTCATTACATGTGAAAATCAGAACCTCTGAAAAATGCCTGTTTTCCTAGTATGAGGTAAGGTCCAACATATCTTTTTCACTACGATAAGGCAGTTCTTTAGGATAAGTATGATATATCTGCAGAACTATCACATGGAATCCCTAGAACAGTGAGATCTTGGCTCAACCATGAGAGCTGACAACCTGGAGCAGAACTATGTCCCCATCTGAAGATGCACCCCAGTAAGTGGGAAGGCTAGTGGTAAGTACATGGGTACATTGTAAACAGAGTAAAACTCTGGTGTCTGGCTGGATTAGATGACCAATGAAGAGTCCATCCTTTTTGTGCCCTAGTATCAGCATTGCACTGATATTCTGCTGCATTTTAAAGTAAAATCATTGATTTTTACACAGAATTGCAGGCACAGTTAAGACTCTACAAACAAAATCCTTATAGCCGTGGCTTTAAATCATGGTCCTGCCACTTATTAGATACAGCAAATTAACCTCCTTCAAAACTTAGTGTTGCTAACAACTTAAAAAGATTATTGGATCAAACAATGCTTGCTATTTCCATTATTATTTTGGTTAAGGAAGATAAAATTTTAAAGAGACATGTATTAAAAACAAAAGTATTGACTTTTTTCCTTGAAAGAAGAAAATCAGAAAGGTCATTCAGCTAGCTATGGAAACCCACCTATTTCTCAATATGATGCAGTTTTAACTCTAAACCATTCAAAAAATACTCTCATGGATATATGGTCACTGAAACTATCTATCTAAGATATTTCAAGTATCTTTTATTGACTTGCCATTTGACTCCAAACCTTCGATAGGAATTTGAAAACTATCCTTAAGAACTAGGAAATATTTTTCCTTATATGTTTATATACACAGAAAGGCAATAAAACCACCCCCTAGAATTTACCTGTTCGACCAAGCCCTGCATGACAATGGATAGCTACTTTTCCTTCTTGTAAGGCAAATGTCATCACCTTCACCATATCTAAGATGGTGGTAAGGGACGCTACACCATAATCCTTCCATCCAAAGTTGTAGAAATAAACTGGACAATGAGAAAGAACAAGAAGAAATCAACATATAGGAGAAATACTTGCAAATACATTTGAAAAAACTGAGTGAAGTCATGACAGTATATAGCTGTAAAACACGCAGATCTCACTAGGTGTGTAGACCTAAAATAACAGGCTTTCCCCATTTCCAGTAAAGTTACTGTTAGCATTTCTTAAAAAGCATATTCTGTATTATTTAACACATTTCCTGCTGAAACTCAGAAATAATTAATGAAAAGCAGGATTATACATTAAAGTTGATGACCTATGCCAAAATTACTCTACCACGGAGGGAAAGCATGCAACTTTGTTTAAGCATTGAAACATGTCTGACTGACTGATAAATGACATGGGGTGGTACATACAGATTTTTCTAACTAGTGGGATAAAAAAGCGAACACGAACTTCAGGTTGTAGAAGTGGCACAGTCTGGTCCCTTCCAGCTTGGTGTGAATGACACATGTTCAGTGGATTCTACGCTGTAGCTCCTGTGACAGAGCTTCTGGACTCGTCACAGACAGAATCCCCGCATCCTGCCCACAGGGTAGAGCTATGCGGTAGGTAAAAGCACAAATAAGTCGTGGGTTCTAATCCTGTTGCTATGTTTTGTTGTGTAATCCTGGGCAAGTCAGAACTTTCTCAGTCTGTGTGACCTCATATGTGAAGCAGAACAACAACTACACACACACACACACACACACACACACACAGTTAAATGTTCATTTATTTATTTGGCTGTGCTGGGTCTTGGTTGCAGCATGTGGGATCTACTTCCCTGACCAGGGATGGAACCTGGGCCCCCTGCATTGGAAGCACAGTCTTAGCCAATGGACCATCAGGGAAGTCTCAGAACAACTGTATTACATGACTGCTTTAAGGATTAAATGAGAAGACAGGTCTGACATACTGTTTATATTAATTATGCAGGTATTATTTCTACAAGGTCTTCTCTCAAGATTTCTCTCATAGGAAAAAAGAAATTCTGTACTTTCAACACCAATACTAAATAAGATATTTAAAGACAAAGTTATCTCATCTTCACTTTTCAGAAGCCCTACTACTATGCATGAACTTTGCTTCCATCTCCTTTTTAATCTAAGAACTGAGCAGACAAAAGTCTCTGAGTTCTGTCCTTGGTAATGTATGGAGAAGAGGTTGGAAGGACTTACTGCCAGCCTCCATGAAAGCTTCAGGAAGGTATGTGAAGCCACTTTCTTGTTCCAGAGGGTTCCCACAGCTGGCATGCTCACCAGGACGCTGAAGGTTAATGATACTTTTTATGCCATGGCTTAAAGGAAAAAGAAAAAAATTAGTTATATTGGGGAGGTAGTGTTAACAAAAAAATAACCATTTTTGGTATTAATAAAGATTAACTACTCTTAAAACTTTATCTTACTTGAAATAAGTTCTTCACATTTCTGTTGGTAAAATGAAAGCACTTTTCTATTTGAAGTCAAAAGCAGTGGAAAAGAAGATATAAGCTGGCTTATTACAGTGGGTAAACATGCAACATTTACCTTCGGAACTGCTCAATGATACAGAACTTCTCCAGGACCTCAGTGGATGGGCGTGCCATGGCCAGGATATTATCAGTGACCCTACAGATGGGAGGAAGGGCTGATGAAATGCACAGAACTGAGAAGGCAAGATTTCAAGCCCTTACTTTTTCTATGACTTCAATAATACTGTAAGGTAAGAATCTCCTTATACAAATCTGGCTTCAATTCTGTATTATGATTACGGCTCTAAGAAACCCTCACTTCTTAAATCCTGGAAACAATTCCAGAACATAATGTATTTATGGACTCCAGCAAAGTATCCTCAAGGACTTTCATGAGCTTCTAGTGGACATGACAGAATGATGGAGAAACCTCACTGGCAGCAAAAGTAACTTCCTGGATTAGTTATCCAGAGGTTACTGACTAAATGAGGAGGGCCAGCTGGGAGGCATTTTTAGTTACTTATTTACGTGTACCTCAGTCATCTAATGTGTTGAGTGAGGGTAATAACGCCTGCCTCATAGGGTTGGCGTGAGAATTCAATATGATGTGACTGTAAAGTCTTTTAGCATAAATCCCGGCATGTGGTTATGCATAAATGCTGAGTTATTGTAATTTAGGAAAAAATATCACTTTGGAGTCAGTCAGGCCTGGTTTCAATTGCTGGCTTTTCTATTTTCCAGCTGTGCAGCAAATTACTTAGTCTCTCTGGACTTCAATTCCTTATCAATAACATGACACTAACAATGCCTACTTAAAAGGGTTTTATGACCATAATAATTGAAAATGTCTATCACTGTGACTGGCCTGTAACCAAATGGATGTTTACTGAGTGTACACATGGATAGAGGCCCAGTAAACGGCTGTCACTCTCACTAGGGCTCTAACTTCCCTCTGTTCTGATCAGATTTCTCACCAGTGGTCTGGTGAAAGATACCTAAGATAAGACTGTCACAAGCTGTGGGTTACAAGAACCTGAGAGGAGTAACAGAGACATCAGATGAGCAGGTCAGGATTCAGAAAGATACCATCTCTCATGCCTGGGGCAATATCTAAAAACAGGGAACCACGAAAGTTTGGGATCTCGCAAATTTAACAGCACTTAGTGTAAGGAGAGATGTAATGTGAAAGCAGCAGAGGTGAAAACAAGATAGTTTAGTCAACAATAAACCAGAAATATTAATGTGACCTTAAGCTGCATTATTATAAATTTATGTATCTGACCACATCTCAGGAGTAGTGTTTGCTTTTTCATGACACTCTTTAAGAAAGGTAGTGATGAAGGTAGTGACAGTGGATCCCAGACTATAACACTGTACCTGTACCCAACATATCCAATATGAAAAAGTACAGGGTTGGAGGCTAGTAAAGTGGCTGACAAATGTCTAATTTGCAAATGGAGTCTTACTCCATAAAATGATTCACCAGCAGAGTTCTTTAAATCATGAATTCCTCTGAGTGCATTCCAAATATGGTTTTAAATATCAGAATTTTTCAGAGATATCACTGTATCAAAAAAGGGTATACTTGACAATTTGCTAATAATAATAAAAACAGCACGATTCAATAATGAATGAATTATACTTACATACCATAAACAATGAAAGCATTTTACATCATCTACTGAACCGACAACTTATATCACCCTCTACTGAGGCAGACTGGAAGTGTATGTATTTGTATGAAAATGTATCCTTTTATACAGAATATAGGAACAAAATAAAAATAAGGCTAAAGTTCACCTGCATGAAAGTGAAAAACTACCTAATTACCTCAAAATTTCTCAAATTTATAGCTGAATATTTTAATTGTTTCTAGCAATCTCTGAAATTTAAAATCTATCTAGTTACCAATTCTTTAAGATACTTTACCTACAACATTCTACTTTATTAAAAAAAATAACCCTATAGGGTTGGTTTTATTATTTCCATTTTACAGATGAGGAAACTGTGGTTCAGAGTGCCTGTGAGTAGGCCAGATTGTCAAGAGGGGAAGCCAGGGATGGAAGATGAGGTCCTCTGACTTCAAAACCCCACATTCCTTCTTCTACAGGCTACTGCCTCTGGCCATCACCTATACCTCCATTTCCTTTTCCTACTTAGCAGTAGGTGGGAGCTATCAAAGACTGACAGAATCACTTACCAGGACGAGTAGACCCCTTTAATAGCTTGTTCCTGTTCACCCCAGCGGGCTGCATTTTCATACTTGCAAGCTTTGCCACCACATGCCATAGAACAGGCCACGTGTCCAGGAATGACATGCCGCAAACGCTCTCCAACTTTTGTATATTTTGGCGTAGGACGTCCTGAATTTCCTAGAACATACGAAGAAGGGAAGATTTAAAATCCTACTTTCCAAATGGAATAGTAACAAGGGAAAGAGCTTCCAATTTCTCTCAGGATTGTATATGACAAGCTGGTGCTAAATCCCCTTCATTTTGTCAGGAATAAAACTGTTTCCCTTTCATATAAGTGTACTAGCCTTCACTTCAGAAAAGGCCTTTGCACACAAGAATCTCCATATGGGCTACTGGTAATGAAAAGGAAGAAACTGTTATAGCAGATCTTTTGCAAAGAAATGAGTTTTACACAAGAACTACAATTTTAATGAAAAAAACATAAAACATTCAAGCATTGTCATCTCCTATTACATGTCTACTGAATCTCACAGCATAAGACAATAAAAAGTATAATGCAGAATTCTCAAAATTTTAAAAGGTATAAACACAGCATAGCTTCTTCACAGTTGTTATATTTAAACTCAAAGGTGTGTCAATCTTTAAGAAGAAAAGGAACTTTACTTTTTCTCTCGGGGCAAGTTGGGTTTCTCTCAGCACAGCTGACAGAGGACATGGCCACCATCACCTGGAGAGAAGACGAGGAGAGCACCTTGGCAGCAGAGCCGCGCCGCGCCTGCTGCAGCCGCAGGATAGGGTCGGAGGCGGAGTGGCGACGGCCCTCGAAAAAGGAGCTGAGGAATGGCACAGCGGAGAGCCTCCGGGGTGGATCCTGCATGGTGCTGGGCTTCCAGGAGGGAAGAGCTGGAGGCGAGATGTCAGCGCCAGCCTGCTCCATGATGAAGTTACACTGAGAACGTGAGCATCACTCTGCGTGATCTAACCGCCGTTCAGGATAGGCTGACTTGTTTCCATAGTGACAAACAAAGAAAGTACTGATTCCCACTCAGATCTGTACAAGCAAAATCCCTTATGAATGGATTGTGTTTAGAACAGATTGTTCGAATATAGGGAAGAATAACATGTATTTTAAATAGATTATACCTTAAATGTGACTTTTCTACTGTTTCTCAAATACCTTCAAAAAGATCTGACTGCTCAGAGAATTATATCTAAAATATTGTAATGAATTTAGAAAAATGTCTTTATGATGCAAACACACACATTATTAAAATACCTAAATTTTGTTCTTCCTTTCATATCTATTCTCTGAACATTTTGAAAAATACTCTCTTTCTACTCCTTTCTGAAACAGGGCAAATAAAAAGTTAATTGTAATAAAGTGGGACATATTAGATATCTATAACATTATTAAAACATCATTTTTCAAAACCAAAAATCCCTCTATTTTTTGTTTAGTTGCTAAGTCATATCTGACTCTTTCTCAATCTCATGGGCTATGGCCTGCCAGGTTCCTCTGTCCATGGGATTTCCCAGGCAAGAATACTAGAGTGCATTGCCATTTCCTTCTCCAGGGAATCTTCCTGACCCAGGGACTGAACTCGCATCTCCTGCACTGAATGTAGACTCTTTATCAGTGGGCCACTTAGGAAGCCCCAAACTCTATATTATTTTATAGAACAATTTAAGAAATGCTTGGATAGAAGAAATAAAGATATCTTTAGGGCTGGTATACTAACCAAAAGACATTTATTTTCGTATTTATATTTTCAGAATGTGAAAACCCAATTCTTGGTTATTGGATAGTTACAGCAGTCATAACTACAGCCCTCAAAAACTCAAAAGACATGCTTCTGTGTCTTTTCTTGCTGACTAAGGGGAAAAGAGAAGCTTCAGTAAGTCTTGGCAGAGACATAGGAAGAAAATCCACTAAGTATCACATTTTTTAAAGGAACTGGATGAGGGGGAGATTGCAACTTGAGGATAAAGGATATAAAGAACACAGAAACTGTAACAACCACCAATTGTCCGCCTCCTCTCTTGTTAATGTCAAACTGCAACAACCTCACCCCACGCGGTGCCTTTTTCTCTTTCTGTTTCTCCAAATGGCATTCTGGCCATGCGTAGATGGAAACAACCTATTGTCACAGATAGGGCTCTTTACTTTGTTCTGTTCTATTTTAATAATTAATAATGCTTTAAAACTTGCTCCTTTTAAAACACACCCCCATTTCTTCAAATGGGTATGTTTTGTCAAATAAGATACAGCAGCTCAATTTGGTGTCTAAATTTGAGTGTAGCACCCTGCCCCTGTCATTTTGTAAACAGCAATGAAAAAGAATTTCTTTTAATGTAGTCTATTCAGAAGGCACAGCTTCCACACAATTTTAAAGGAAAGGAAAGTACAGAAGATGTGGTGCAGAAGGCAAGTTGGAACCTGATGTCAAGAGGCCCTAAATGCTCAAAATAAGAAGTCTGAGTCTGCTGTTGGGGAACAGAAGCCTGACTCAAGTTTCTCACGGTTAACACTCCCTGCAGAGACAGGGATTAGAGTCAAGCACTGAGGGCCTGCTGGAACAGTGACAGTAAGTGTGGGAGCAAGACAGTACAGGGGCGGACACTGCACTGCATGCCAAGACTTCAAGTCTAAGCGAGCGGCAACAAGACCCTTAAGTCAGTAAACACGGAGTCCGTAAGGAGAAGGTGCCAGAGAAAACCCAGCAGGCAGTCTCCATATGAGATGAAAATGCACATGAGGCAGCAATTAGGAGGCCTCAGCCAGTGAGCAGGAAATGCCTGATCTGTGCAGCCCTAAGGACATGAGAGTCCAAGTGACTCTACTCTCAACAGTTCTGAAAATGAGAATGAAATTGATGAGGACAGGACTTGTCTGGACCAAGTCAAGGAAGGGAAGATTTTTGTATCATCTCAGGAATAATTTCTGCTGTGAAATCTTAAGGACTGGGCTGGCCTCAAATAAACATGCAACCACTTGGTGGCCTCGGTTACCAGCCAGGGACACTGAATTTGGGCTTTCAGAAAAGTGGAGCTGAAGGCAAACAGGAATCCAAAAAGTGACTGCAGCCCTCCCTCTCAGCATATTCTTGCCTTGCTCACTCACCTGGGGCACCCAGGGGTGCTGGGATACACTGGCACTGTCTGGTGCTGAACTGGAGTGCTGCCCACCTGTGGGCACCACAGACAGGGCAGAGGCCTCCACTTCCCCAAGACATGTCAGAACTGTCAACCTCACTGTTGCAAGTCCAAACTATTCCTTGAAAAAATACCCAATCCATAGCCAAATCCACCTTTAAAAATCAGTTTTTATTTATGCCAAATGACGTTACAATAGGGAAGAGTACCTTTCATTCCACCCCTAAACTCATCTTCCTTTCGGTATATGTCCACAGACATGTGGATTTTCTACATATTTGTAGTCATAATTGCAAATAATTTCCCCTGCTTTTTCTAAGCAGCATAGCCAACACCTTTCCATTTTGCATTAGTCTTCTCATTTTCATTCACTGGATGCACAAGAATTTGATGCATTATAATTTACCTAGTCATTCTTGAGCTGTTGAATATTTAGGCTATTATCAATTGCATTGTTTAAAAATAAGGTATTATATATTTTCAGGATTAAAATTTTTTATTTCTATTTTTTCCTTCATTAAACTAGAGATGATATGACTGGTGTGCAAAGCTCATATTTTTATTTACTTGAGTCTTTACATGTTTGAACAACTAACTTTATAGAAGTGGAAAGGAGTAATATTTTTAGCAAATCACAGGTTTTCCTGAAGTCAGAGAGGAACACAGCATTAAAATAAAGATCAAAAGATGCTGTCTCTGATAAGCTATTTTGCCAACCTCTGTGACCTCAGAAATCCATATCTCCACATGACCATGTTTTCATTCACAGAATGTTGCCAAAAAACAATCATGCCATGACTTTAAAGGGATTATCTTCTAATTCATGGAATAAAAGATGTTAGAACTTGTACCAAATTAGTACAAATTGGTCTCTCTTTTCTGTATTATTTTTAAAAATAGTTATTTATTCATTTTGTGGATCAATTTAGTTAGTAATACTCACACTTTTTGTTTCACACCTCTGTAAGACTTTGTATTACATCTTAAAAATCAATTAAAATTTTTAAATTGGGATGAATCATATAGATTGCTAATGATGAATTTTTCAGACTAACATTTTAATATTTATTTAAATTACCAATAGGAAAAAATGAAGTCTTTTCTTTAAATAAAAGGAGCAACAAGACTACTTAATTTCTAATATATTTCATGTTTTATATAAAATGGAAGTGTTTTAAGCAAGAGTAATTTTATGAAGGGCCATATTTTCAATAGACACCTAAAAGCTGAAGAAACTTCTTTCTGACAGCCACAGAGAAAGGCTGTTGTTCTTGTTCAGCTGCTCAGTCCTGTCCGACTCTCTGCGACCCCACAGACTGCAGCACGCCAAGCTTCTCTGTCCTTCACCATCTCCTAGAGCTTGCTCAAACACATGTCCAGAGTCTCATGTCCATTTAGTCAGATGTCTATGTAGTCTCAGTCCTAAGTCAATAAAGGAGTCATTTCCAGGAACTAGACTAGAACACTGACTTTTCAGCTTCTTTTTTCCCACTTCTTATGACAGAAGGCTCACTTCTCACAAGGCAATTAACTATTCAACTGTTTGACAGCTCAGGATGTTTCCTACTGTTGAGTCAAAATCCATTTCTCTATCAACACTGGTCCTGGTCCCTCCCTTTAAAAATGAAAAATACAGCATCTTTATGACTTGCAAGGTTTTCAAATATCTGAAGACAGAACTCCTCCAAGACTCCCCCAATTGTGGTCAAATCTTAATTTTTACAAACATTAATAGTCATTGTTTCAAGATCCTTCATTATAATTCCCTTTCTTCAGAGAGCACCCCCATCCCCTGCCTCCCCTTTACAGATAAAATTCTAAAAAGAAAATTTGACTTCATTTGCTATTTTCATTTGTGACCTGTTTCATTCTTGCTAAGGTCTCTGACGGTCCTTTTTATAGTTTTTGTCTTATTTTTACTGCTTAGCACACATTCAACAGAATTGAACAATTTAGTTTTAATTTTAAAAATATTTGGAGAGGATTTTATTTTTTGATGCAACCTCAAACTTACAGAAAAGTTT